CTGCTGTGTTCATCCAGCTCTACACCTTGTTAGCTCAGATTCTTCAGCATTTGCAGTTCCTGCTATCCCAGAACTTCACCATGGCCAGGTCCTCTCAGTGGTGAGTTGCCTTCTTGAACTGCTGCAGTCCATATGCTTTAGACTGACCCATAATGCCCATAGGAAAGGAATTCTGGGATTTTGACCAAATGACGCTGAAGGAATGGTGAAGTATATCCAAATCAGGATGGTAAGTGGCTTGGAGAGCAACTTTCAGGTGATGGTGTTCCCCCATGTACTAGCTACTCTGGTCTCTCTAGGTGGAACTGGTTGTTGGTTTGGAAGGAGCTGTCTCAGGTACCTTAGTGAATTTCTGCAGTGCGTTTTGTAGATGGTGTACACTGCTACTAATGTGCATCAGTGGTGATGGGTGGGAGGGATTATTTGTGGATGTGGTGTCAATCAAGCGGGCTGCTTTGTCTTGGATGGTGTCAAGCTTCGACTGTTGTTGGAACTGCACTCATCCAGGCAAGTGGGGAATATTCCATCACACTCCTGACTTGTGCCTTGTAGATGGCGGACAGGCTTTGGAGAGTCACGAGCTAAGTTATTTGCTGCAGGATTCCTAACCTTTGACCTGGTCTTGTAATCACAGTATTTAATATGGGTTGTGCAGTTTCTGGTGTGCTAACGAAGGTGGTACCTTTTGGCTGGTAGTAGATTTCAGCTTTTCAATTTTGTTTTAGGCTCATTTCAGGAATAAGGAGTGAGAGGACAGGGAATATTTAAAATTTATGATTGTAACTGACTTCCAGTTCACAACCTCAGCAGCCTAATACACTACCATTGATGCCTGATTGGAAAGAGGGGCTCTCTGCCCAATGCCACTTGGTCACTTTACTGCCTGGCAATCTCTACTTGGCTATGCACCACTAATCATAGCTGTGTTGAGATAGCGATGGAGGAGGTAAGTAAATCAAACACCTGCATTTCTAACTCTTTACTCCATCTGGAAATCATAAAATCCAGCCTATTAACAGTCCCTTCAATACCATGATTCAGATGTGAGCGTAGACAGTGAGCATCAACTGAGACCCCTTCCGTACAATCACACATTTTTGTAGCAAGCGTCACTGGCAGTGATTAGATGCAGGGAGAAAGCTGATTTCAAGAGATGAGAGGCAGTTGGAGCATCCTCCCTATAAACAGTAACTGACCACAAAGCAGAGAATGAACCTCGGCTTCCTGGCTTTTATGGCTTGGTGCTTTTACCCGTTAAACTGTTGTTGTGAAGAAAGTTGAAGTTTGAATCGGTGCCCAGACGTTTGACTTGGCTGTGACTTTTAGCTGATTTAACAAAGCAAGCAACAAAGCAATGTGCAAACAAAATAAAACTAGTGGAAAGACTGGACGAAATGAGTGGAAAAACTTGGACCAAACGATAATAATTGATTCACAGAAAACTCAGCAGAGTCAACTGTCTCACCCTTGGTCAGAAACATTTGGCATCCAGCCACGTGTATCTAGAAACAGAAACATAAACAGAATGCTGGTCTGGCAGTTTTTGTGGAGAGAAAGCAGAATTAAGGTTTTGGGTCCAGTGTCCCTTCTTTAGAACAGTTAAAACAGAATGCTGGTGTGGCAGTTTTTGTGGAGAGAAATCAGAATTAACTTTTTGGGTCCAATGACCCTTCTTTCAAACAGTTTTCAAGGAACTACATCCGAAACATTAATTCTGTTTCTCTCTCCACAGATGATGCCAGGCCTGCTCAGTTTCTCTGGGAATTTCTGCTTTTGTTGCAGGTTCCCAGCATGAGAAGTCGTTTTATTTTAGCATCCGGAAACATCATCTTTGACAAACAAATATATCTCATAACTGAGATAACAAGGTGTAGAGCTGGATGAACACAGCAGGCCAAGCAGCATCATAGGAGCAGGAAGGCTGACGTTTCAGGCCTAGATTTCTGATGAAGGGTCTAGGCCCGAAACGTCAGCCTTCCTGCTCGGCCTGCTGTGTTCATCCAGCTCTACACCTTGTTATCTCAGATTCTCCAGCATCTGCAGTTCCTACTATCTCTATCTCATAACTGATTTTTTTTTGAAGGGCTTTGGGGCTGGAAACTTCAAATCATTGTTTGAAGCGATTGAATACGATCAGGATGCAAGAGGAAACCTCACTGTTTACACGGCCAACAGGAACGAACAGCGATATTACTGAAATAACAGGCCAGCAAATCACAGAATTTGATAAGAAGTTCTATATCTGCATCCTCTGTAGTGAAGAACTCTTTGTGTTCGTTAGCCTTTCCTTCATCCTACAGACTCTAGAATGTGGTTTTTAATTCATTGTTCTTGTACCCATATCCACAATCAGACAAAATCAAAATAGTGCAAGAATTCACTATCAGACAATGGCTGAATTTAATGCATGAAATCACTGTATTTAATAAACGTGGCCACCTACCTGATTCACTGGTGATCATTATTTTTGTCACTTTCACAAAAGGGATCAATTCTCAGGATCAGGAGAATCCAACTGTTTCCCCCCCGAAACAGTTAGAGAGGAATCAAGGCACTTCAATGATTTGAATGTACTAGAATGACCCTCTGGTCTGTCTAACCTGTCTAATGTAATTGTGATACTTTGTATTCACAACGTACCCATTGTACTTTACCCAATAACTTACAGTTTCTTGCACGAGTGTAGAAATCACGACAAATCCAGTCATTAGTGTTGGGGGCAGGGAAGGTAATCTTTCTCTCTGACTGATCTTGGAGATCACACTGGTGCTGATAGTTCTGCCTCCGACAGGGGGTAATGCCCCTCCGCCCGACCCCCCACTCTCAGAAGCTAGTTCTTCTTGAAGTTTAACAAACTGGTGTTTGCCACCTAAGATACCAGCCCATGCCAAAAGTAACTCTTCATTGAGAAAAGAATCAGCTTCTGACATCGAACAATTTAAAATAATGATCCTTTGTCTTTCCTTACAAGTTGGTCTCTCCTTATCTGACTTGAATCCAGTTCCATCTGCAGCCTCTTCCCATACCTCACTCCCTGGGAAATGTGCCCAAGGCCTATCCTAGCCTAGTTGGCCAGGGAGACAGTGAGGAACGCCAAGGTCCTGCAGCTAGTCAAGAGGAGAAGCTCCAACATGTCCGAGCAAGTCCTGGAAGTGGTGGCGGCCAGCAAGATACTGGGCTGTGTTTCGAAACAATGCTATCAACAGCGACTACAGTGTAGCCAGCAACAAGTGGCAACGCAAGCAGGCAGTCTGGAACCTGACAGCGTGAAGGCTCCCTGGTGCAGATCACAGGTACTGCTGAGTCCGTCTCCATTCTGAGGGTCAGGGAGTGGAGAGATCACAAATTGGAGAGTATTGGAGGGGAAGGATCTGCAGAGACTAGGGGGATCAGGCATGTAGAAAATCACTTTCTTTAATTTGTAATTAAAAAAATTAAATGACTTAATTTACCAGTGCAAGGGAAGCTAGTAATGCAAAACATTTTAAATAATGTTGTAGCTTTTTTCTCATAAGGAAGGCTCATAGAACTCAACTCCAGTTATGACGTTGGTTTCCATAGGAACCAATGCTTCTCTTAAAATCATTTAACTCAAAAGTTGTCATTTTCAGGAACACAGTCACAAGTTTAAATGAGGATTTAATGCAGCAGCATAGTCTTTGTTAATGATTTCACCGCCTACTTATCCCACAAGTAGCACCGAACAGATTAACTGATCATTGTCACAATGGTTTTGGGAGCTTGTTGTGGATAAATTGTCCACCATGTTTCCTACACAGGCAGCATAAACAACTTAATTGGTTGTTAATACATTTTGACATGCCCTGTGTTTTGAAAGGTTTAATGAAGAAAAAAATTCTCCTTTTAGTTTACAAATGGAAGGTTCATTACGAATTAAATGAGACCATTAAATACTTGGTTTGAGATCAAAATATGGCAGATGTTCCCAATTACATTTTTACAGCAGTCACAAGGAACACATTGTAGATTTGCTGCTAAAATAGATATAGGCATGGATATAGGCCTGGTCAGAAGAGGCAGTGTTGGTTGCTAACTTTTATCGCATGCATCTGAGGCTGTGCAAAGGTATAGGGGCTATGCTTTATTATTAGCAGATTGCTGGAAAGGACCACAATACCAACAACTCTACACAGAAAGGCTATTAGAGTCCCAACATGGCCACTGTCTCACCAAATTGAATTATTTGAACAATTTGGTTTCCTAGTTTGGTAGTGGTCAGCCCTGGTTGAATCTATTTTGATTTAAAAAAATCTTCAACCAGTTGCTGAACAACAGGCTACTAAGAAAGGTTGAATTCATAGGTAGTTTTCAGGTCGGAAAGGAGCTGGTTGCATTCATATAGACACTGGGTCTTTTGTCAAGGTTTGGTCATAAATGACATCCTCCAGGAATTAGTGTTAGGTTCACTGTTCCCCATATTTATCAGGGACCTGATCAAAAGTACTGGGGAACTGTCTGCAGGGTCACAGAAAATATGAAGTTTGCAGGAAGATCCAAACTGAATGGAGAAATGAGCTTGTATCTGGCAAATGTCTTTTTAATATGTTCATTAGATGCCTAGATAGGAAAGAAAAAATCTTACAGAAATATGTATTGAAACCAGAAGTAGCTGAAGGAAACACACAGAGAAACTCAGCAGATTCTGGCGGTATCTGTGAAGATAAAATAGAGTAAATGTTTCTGAGCTAGTGACCCTTTTTCAGAACTAGAAACGGCAAGGAAAATAAAAAAGCTGGGAGGGGTGAAAAGGAATGGATAGACAAAGAAGAAGACCAGAGAGAGAGAAAGAGAGAGAGAAAGGGAGACAAAGGGCTGTTGGTAGTGAGTCAGGGAAGAAGGGATGGTGATAATAGAGATGGAGTAGTTGAAAATAGATGACTGTACTGAAAGCAGTAGCTGAAGGACATGGCTGTGATAAATCATTTAGAGGATCTTGGGCTAGTGCTGTGACCCTCATTACAAAAAAACAACAGTGTGTTTGAATCCATTGCCTTGACCATCAAATACAGAATAAGGAATATGATTTGATCTCTGGTCACGACCTCATCTCCAATCAAGGTTAATGTTTGTCCCCTCTCAAGGTGATTGATGAGAGTTCTTGGAAATGATTTAATAATTGCAAGAGTGATAACTAATGTAAAGACTCCTCAGTTATCACAGTTGTGAGTTCACTTTTACATGAAAAAATTCTACACCTCAAGGAGACAGTGTATATGCATTCATTACCAACATTCAAAAAGCTGCTGGTCAAAATCCTGAATGTTTCCAAGATCTCTTTGCACAGAAGGTGAATGCATGTTGGAGAGTGTGTATCAGTATACAGTTGCTTGAAAAATAAAAGAAATTTAAGTGTTTTTCCAAAACTGGCTTATTTTTCAGTTTATATCATAAACTGTTGGTCTTTTCATCTTCATTTCCAAAAGTTTGTATACAATTTAAGACACACAAGTGACAGCAAATCAATGGCTGTTTTACATCCCTCCTGATTTTTCCTTCCAAAGTCAATGAGTAGTCGACAGCAAACAATAATCTTTTCTCATTCCTCCTTCAATACAGATTGATTCAGCAAGTCTCCTATCTCTTCTTGTGCCCTTCTTGTGAACCGGAGTTGAGGGACTGGGTAAAATCCAAAATTTGACTACAGTTGTAAAGATTTCAAGCTACATGAATGAAGCATCAAACCATGGCTTAAAAACACTAGCCACTAAAATACTCGGCTACAATAAAACTAAATGGAGTCAATCTGGAAACTTGGACAAAGCCACAAGCTCCTCTTAACAGTCCCTGTGGATAACAATCCAATCTGTATCAGCAGTATTTCTTGGAGGGGAAGAATTGCCCACAAGATTCCCCACACACCAAATTCGAATAGCATCGTTATATCTTTCAGCATTTAAAATGCAATCAGTTCTATTTGGATATTGTGTACATGTGGCAAGATCCATTAAATCCTTCAAGATGCCAATGATTTAAAGCTTTTAAATGCCTACATTCCCTTTATCTGCAGTTTTTCTTTACCTTGCTAATCTGCTCCCATCTCCAGGTATTGACTTTTGAATGGGAAATGGTCCTCTGAGTACTCAGTGTTCTTCGGTGCTTCAGTGATATTATTGTAGACTATTCTATGGAGAATTATGGATACCGCCTGGACTGAGCCCAAGCTCAAGGGAAAAGGCAGGAAATTGACAATAGATAATAAAGCCAGACAAGACAATAAACCTGTGCAGGCATAGTGGGATGACTGGTATCCTTATTGCAATGTAATTGCACTTCAAAGCAACCAAGCCTCTCCCATGAATTACAACACCAGAACGAGTTGCACAGGATAAGAGTCAATAAACTGCTTAGTCGGACATTCAGCCCCTTAAGTCTGTTCTCTCAATCAATTAAATCATAGCTGATCTGTGGCCCAACCCATATACCTGCCTTTGGCCTATATTCCTGATACCTTTGCTTAACAAAAATGTATCTACCTGGGATTTATGGGAAATAGGAACAAGAAAACCATATTTAAAACAGGGTTGCCAACTTCCAGTTTTAATCAAGCTGAACAGGAAATCCTAAAATGTTAACTGGATATAAAATCTTTTAAAAAGATCATTTTACCTCACTTATACATTATAGTGTTAAATATTTCAAAGCATTATCAACAAATCAGACAATAGAGTCATAATCTAATCTTTTGCCCTGCCCATCTGGCAGTAAGTGGGAAACCCAGTTTATATTGGGAAAAAAAGAAAGGTTTTCAGCTGGAGAGACAGGTTCAAAGAACAAAATTTGTCTAATTGGTACAAAGAATGTGCAAATCATTGTGCAAGGTGCGACTACAACCAGTGTGTTGCTTCCAGTTCCCCTTGACAGCTATTTCGATGGGGCTTTTTGATGTTGCACTTGATCAAATACTACCTTGATGTCAAGGGGAGTCACTCTTGCTTCACCAGTTAGCTCCTTTGTCGATGTTTGGATGAAGATTTAATGAGGTCAGGAGACAAGCGATGCGGATGGAACCCAAACTGAGCGTCAGTGAGCAGGTTTTTGCTAAGCAAGTGTTAATTGATAGCTTTGTTGATAATCTCTTACGTCAGCCAGGTTGGATTTGACTTGCAATTGTGGACAGAGTACACCTGAGCAATTTTCCACATTGATAGGTAGATGCCAGTGTTGTACTTCTTTTGGAATGTTCTGGCCGGAAGCACGGCAGGTTCTGGAGTCTAAGTCTTCAGTATCATTGCCAGAATGTCGTGAGGGTTCACAGCTTTTGCAGCATCCATTGCCTTCAGCCATTTTGTGATAGCATGTAGAGTGAATCAAATTGGCTGAAGACTGGCATCTTGGGGACTTCAGGAGGAGACCAAGATGGATCATTCACGCAGTGCTTCTGTCTGAAACTGAATGCGAATGCTTCAGCTATACTTTGTGCACTGAT